CGCCCTGGCCAGGCGCGCGCGGCCCCTGCTGTTTCGTCGCGGCGCCCTGGCCAGGCGCGCGCGGCTCCTGCAGGACCGTCACGGCGCCCTGGCAAGGCGCGCGCGGCCCCTGCTGGTCCGTTGCGGCGCCCTGGCTAGGCGCTCGCGGCCCCTTCCTGTCCCGTCCCCCCCCCCCCCCCCCCCCCCCCCCCCCCCTCCCCCCGTGCTGCCCATTACTCTCGTGCCGCCGTGCGTTCTGCGGTGGTGGGGGGTGTGGGGTGGCGAGCATGGGGGTGCGCGGTGTGGGTGCTCCCCTTCCCTTTTCCCCTCCTCCTTGTTCGTCTCCCACTGCTGCAGCTGCTGCTGAGGGGGGTGGAGGTGTGGGAGCCGCGGGGAGTGGAGCTAGGGGGGTGACGTGGAAGTGGAGTTAGGGGTGAAGCAGGGGGTGTGTGTCAAGGGGGTGGGACTGTTTGGGGAGGCTGAGAGGAGGCTGCCGTCTTGTCGTCCGCAGCACCTGTAGTCCGGGGCGCTGTCCTGGTAGCCCAGAGAGCCTGCTGCGCCTGTCGCCCGTGGGTCCGTTGCTCCTGCCGCTCCTCGTAGCCGCCGAGCCAGTTACTCCAGTAGTCCGGGGCGCTGTCCTGGTAGCCACTGTGCCAGCAGCTCCTGTTGCCCGTGTGTCTGCAGCTTCAGCCGTCGTCTCCCATCTTCTCTCCTCTCACAATCCCTCCTCCTCACTTGCCCGCTGTGACTACCACTAGCTTTGCTTATAATTGTGAATTACTGCTATGCCTGCTCATTGTGCTGATTACACCCCACTTTGGCTATGGGGGTGTGTCAGAATGTTATTATTGTCTAGCCTGCAGTGGGGTACTCTATAGCGAGTACAACCCAATTAGGGTTTCCTATATGTATGCCAACTGCTGCTAGTCCAAACCCCCTTTCTGTTTCTAACTTTCCACTTCTTCTTTCTGACAATTTCGCAGGCTATGGAGAGTGGCAGAAACACGCTTGCAGCCACCAGCTTCAGCGTGAGGTGGAAGGAAAGCATTGATGATGGATATGACACGTGGAAAGCGCATGCGTTGGCCGCGCCAGGTGACATGACCAAGCTCGCAGGGCTGTTGGAAGGCACAGCAGAAGAAGGCGAGGTACTGAATAGTACCATACGCGTGAAGAACGGTCTGGCTATCCCCGGTGACGAGGATTTTACAAAGTACTCCAGTCAGACACATTATGTGCGAGCCTGCGCGTCTTTCGGCGACAAACCATGGTTCAGCGACGTGGCAGTGCTTGGTGAAGAGGAGGTTGCGGCTGCAGGGGGTGAGACCACAAAGCGCAAGGTGATATGGTATGCGAGACTGCTGCTGCTTTTTACCATCGACGTCTACACGCCAGTGACAGAGGTGTTTTCCAAGCGCTCGTACGCTTTTGTACGCTATTTCAGAGCCACTGGTGCGGTGTCAAAGTGTCCGGTGTATACTTGGGAGGCAGGTGAGAACGAGTACCAACTGCTTGAGCTTGATAACATTCTGCGCGTAGCTCATATGGTTAAGGTTAGTGGGGGGCGCTTTGTGATGAACAAGTTCAAATTTTATTGATAAACAATGAAACATAACACATTCAGCTCCTTTCCATCAATACTAAACTATTCAAACGTTACTTTCACTCGAGATTTGCAATAGGAGAGAACATACCTGTGGCACACCTGGATGTTTCTATTTTGTCTTCGTCTGGCATTTTGCTGACGTTTGCCAGCTCGAACGTCCTTCTACATGTGAAAATGATGTTCCCAATTGAAGAATTCCGACCAATGGTGAGAAAGCCCAGTCTCGATTGCCAGTGTTTCACCTTGTTGCCGTGGCTTGCTGGCATACTGCCGAGCAACTAGGTTGCTTTCGTGCCTCGCTGGCGTGGCCTACAGTTGCCCGGCAGCTGTGCTTGCTGCACGGTGCCATAGTCCAGTTGTCTAACTCGATGCCCACTTGGGCAACAGTCGCGTGGTTGTCATGAATTGTTTCGTTTGCCTCGTGAAATAGTGCTGCCCAATCAAAAAAGATTTCTGTATCGGTTTCGAGCACGTAACTGTCAAAGTTTGTATCTTCGGTTCTTGGGCCAGTGTTTAGGCAAGTGTCTTTCGTTTCATCACCCGCATAAAAGTTTCGAACTGTATGTCGTGCCAGCGCATCTACAGATCAAGTCTTTTGGCGCAGTCAACATTCTTGCTACAGCGCTCGGAAGCAACACATCGGATGCTTCGCTGGCATGATGCCGCCCAAATTTAGGACTTCCGTGCCTCGCTTGCCACGCATGCTGCTGCACGTCACTGCTTCTCGCACCTTCTTTGCTGCCTGAACTGTCCTTGTTGAATGGTCGAGTTGTCGCGTTGTTAACCGCGACTGTGGGTTCAATTCCCTTGCGAGATACACCGATAAGTCTTTTATTTGTCTGGCTCGTGCGAAAGACAAGTTTCTTTAAAAACCGATGTTTGTCCGATGTTTGGTAAAAACACGTCGCCTGAACTGTTTAGCGAGGATGATGCTTTTATCTAAACACCTCGTAAAACCGATATCGGTCTACTACTTTTGTCAAATCTCATTGCTAAGCGTTTCCATGTGACTGTTTTTACAGAGTGTAGGGAGGACAAGGAAGTTGTTAAACTATCTCAGGGTGAACCATCATGCTGACAAGTTAAACCAGACAAACATTCTTTTAACTTCTGTGTTTCAAGAAGCTTGGTAGACCCAGCCGAGCTTCTCATCGAGCAACGTCATTCTTACTTCTTATTAGCTCCCGTTTTAACATCGTGTTCCAAGCCTGTTAGTGGCGTACTTGCAGCCATGGCGGTCGGCGTGCCAGCGGAAATTACGGAGCTGCAGCGTAAGCGTTCACGTACTTCAAACAGACGCCTTGAAGGGTATGAGCTGGGTAGCCCTACCACTGGCGCTCGTAGAATTTCTACCCCTGCCCATCAGGTGGGTAATGCTACTGCCCTTCCTCAGGAACCACCCTCTCTGCATGACCTCGAGGCCGGTGCGGCCGAACACACCGCGGACAACGGCGAGCCCTCGCACCACGATGATTCGAACGCCACTGCTCCGTTAGTGCAACGTGCTGCCGCTGTAAACGTCGTTGCCTCTGCTGGAACCGGCGGTATGTTTGCGGCTATGTCGTGCAGTTCTTTAAATCAAGTCAAGTTATTCCGTCTGAGTGTATATGTGCAGTTCTTTTTTCTTACTTGCATTTTTTTTCCATTTCCGTTCTGTTTCGCAGTTGTGCGCACATCAGAGCGTGATGTTCACCACCCTGAGGCCAACTCGTATAACCACATCGACGCAACAATACGCGGCGAACTGAAAGATGTTAAAACTTTGATGCAGCGTATTGAAAACCGTCTTCGTACCTCGGATGAGATCCAGCAGACTCTAGCTACGACTGTCAAGAATCTTCTTGAGATTGTGCACCAACCGAGTTGGAGCAACGAGAAAACCATGGAGGCAAATTTTTCTTGATATGTTTGGTAGTTATTTCATCATAGTTTTGGAACTATGTACTAACCGTGTTCTTTCGTTTTTCAGGATGCTTGCAAGAAGGCCTGCGATGATCTGCTCACGGGCTCTGACGTCTCCGCGCGTGTCATTTACCCCAACGAAGATAATTCAAGGCGGCCGTCGTGGTGCACCTTGCTCTGGAGCCTGAAGACTTAGGGAAATTCAACGACTACTGGAAGAAGGGCGAGTGGTCGAAGAAGTGCACCGAGATTTGCAACGGCCGTCGGGGGAAACTCGGGAACAAGTCTCGGAAGGCGAGTTTCCGTTTCTGAAGTACCCTGATGGCAAAGCCGTGAGGGGAACCCGCGAAGATCGTCGCGAGTATGCACGATCCTGCATCTCTGGTACGTGTGTTCACTCATTATTTCTATTGCTCTCGTTATTACTTGTTTCTCACACTTGTGTTTCTCTTTATACAGAGGAGTATGGCCTGCCGTGGCATGCTGATGAGGAAAAGCCGTTCTGTAGCGAGGCGTTTTTAGCTGCTGCAAGCAAGTGGCAGAAGAAAGAGGGGGGTGTCTTCTCCTTGGCATTGATCAGCTTTGCTACACAATGGTCGCGGTAAGTTTGAGCTTCTCTGCTTCTCCCCGTGGCTTCACATGCTGTTTTGCTTGTTATTCAAGGTCTAATTTTATTGCTCTTGTGCTTGGCAGGTGGAGTTTGAGATGCTTTCTCGTGATCGAACCAGCATGTTTTCTGATTCCGTGAACAACACCCGTGAGATGACCAAGAGGAAGGCCCAGGTTGAGAGCTGGGTCCGTCATGCAAGCATCCCATTAGTAAGTGGGTTTTACTATTTTGGAGATGTTATTGTGAAGGATTGGCAGATTGTAGAGGATCTTTAGGAGCTTGATTTAGCTGTAGAGATTGTAGATCTGTTTAGGGTTTAGGTTATTATGACATTCTGTTTCCTAACTTCTTATCGATATTATTCATTGCGTTAATCAAAAGTTTTGCTAATTTATAATTATTTCCTCACGATAATTAATATTTTATTGATCCGTGTTGTTACTATCTGTTTCATAGTTGATGTAGTTCATATCTCAAATGGTGTAGTTATCTCAATTAAAGGTGGCTCGCTTTGTGTCCTTTCCATTTAGGAACAAATATCCAATAACAAATACGCTGCGACTTTTGAAATATAAATTTTGTTATATTGTGGTAACCAACCACCTGAACATTGTTACGGCTCTGGTTACACCCAACTTTTCAAGTCTCGCATGTGCGAGGGCCTTCATTTCGACTACGGAGGTAACAACTCCGAATTGCTCGCCCCAACTGACATGCGATGCGCAACTTACACAATGCAGTCGCCTCGCAGGTTGGTTTCGGCAGTGCATAGGTTGATTGCAGGGTGGTTCTGTTGCCCCACAATTACCCCCCCGCATTGAAATCAGACTGACAGGACTCCCGAAATCGGGAGTCACCAGGAAGGCTTCCAGCTAATTGCTGGAAGCCACAATTCTTCGTGCGATGTCTCTCCTTCTTCCCCCGGTTGCTCCCCTCTCACCCTGTTCCTTCCCTCTGTCATTCGCCATGCTTCTTCGCCTCGCCCCTCCCTGCGGCGCCTCTCAAGCTGCTCTGTCGCCTGCTGCCGAACGCATAAAGGTGAGTCCGAAGGTACTATAACGCGTATAGAAGATCCAGGGCGAGTAAGACAGGACGCAGGGTTCAGGGTTAGGGGTTCAGGTTCAGGGTTCGGGGTTGAGTTTAAGGATTTTGTGATCTGGTTAAGGATATTGTGATTTGGGTTAAACAATTTGTATGTGCTGCTTATTAAGGTTCTTTGTTGTCCGATACAGAGATATTCACGAGCAAGATATATGCACTCCCTTCCGCGCTCTTATACGCGCCAAACCTCACACTAACGTGCAGGCACGCACACAAACACACGCACGCACACCCACGCACGCACTCACACTCGCGCGCGCACACACAAACGCACACAACCCACTCACTTTCTCCCATCGCCTCCCACACACGCAGGTTCTCTTTCCCTCCCTGCCGGGCCATGGGTTTCCTCTTACCACTCCCTCCGCCCTTCTCTCTTCACACCCGTTCGATCACTCTCTCGCCATTTCCTCACCCGTTCCCAACCATCCTGTACCTTCTCACTCCTCTTCGACACCCGTGCACCACATAGAACCACTCTTTACCGCACTCACTCCCCTCCCCCTCTCACATCGTTCGCCCTCCAGAAAAGCCATGCCAAGCAAGAGAGCAGCCTGCCACGTCAGCAGCAGAGGCCGGAGCTACAGCCACCGCCGCCGCCGCCACAGCAGCAGATGCCCAATGCAGCCCCAGTCCAGACAGCAGCAGCAGGGGGAAGCAGCCTGTGCGGCCGTTTGAAGAGGTGAGGATGAGGACGAGCTTTCCTGGCGTCTCCCCTGCAGCACACTCAGGAAAATAGGCGAGGAGCCGGCACTGGGTGTGTGTTTATGGGTGATGCGATAGCAACGCCTGCCCAGTAGCATGACGTCTGCTGGTGTTTGAGGTATGTGACAAAGGGAGCAGCGACTTCTGCTCCTCTTCACTCCCACTCCCCACTCCTCCCGCCTCCCCGTTCCCCTCTCATCTCCCGCATGCCCTCACAGCGGACGATGCAGCACTGAGGCAAGCAGTTGATGGACCATGAGTTGCAGCGCATGCTTCTCCTCATCGACAGCTCGCCACACCCAGAAGGAGTCAGTGCTCGCCCCTTCTCATCGCCACTTGTGCTCTATTTACATCTCAAAAAGTATTCTGAGAAGTTTCAATAAGATAAGCGCATTCTTCTCCTCATCGCCAGCTCACCGCACCTAGAAGCAGTCAGTTCTCGGCCCTTCTCATCGCCACTTCTGATTTTTTATCCATTGCAAAACATTTGTTGAGAAGTCCCAAAACCGCATGCTTCTCCTTGTTGACAGCTCTCCGCACCCAACTGTGACGTTGGATGAGCAGAGCAGCCAGTGCTCGCCCCTTCCACTTTCTCGTCTTCCTTGTCACAGCGTCCGCCCCTGCCATGTTTGATTGTCAAAAATGCACCTGCGCCGATGCACCTGTTTGCATTGCCTTACTATCTCATCTCATGCCCCTAAAAAATCTCAACACCTCATCTCCTCATCCTCCCACACTCTCGTGCTCTCTCAGCGCCCTCATTCCCTTGCATGAAATGAGCCGTGTTTTGAGTCGACTCAAAACACGGCTCATGCTCTCTCATCACCTTCCCCTCACATCCCCTCACTGTGTTCCCCCCAGGCACTAGAATCAGCCCGTTCGCACCCAGTCATCCCCCCCCCCCCTCATCCCCCCATACCCTTCTAACGACCTCATCCGCTCCCATCCCCTCGCTGTGCTCCCACCCGGCATTAGAAGCAGCACGGTCGCATCCAGTCACTCCCCCACCCCCTCATCCCCCCATACCATCCAACGCCCTCATCCCCTCCCCTCTCATCCCCTCGCTGTGCTCCCCCCAGGCACTGGAAGCAGCGCGGTCGCATCCAGCTTTTGCCAAGTTCCTTCAACAGGCAATCCTCTCAACCCCTCTCAACCCCTCTCGCCCCGCCTCCGTTCCTCTCCCTCCCTTTTCGCCCCTCTCGGCCTTCCTGCCTCCTTTTTTCCCTCTCATTGCACCTCATGTCTTCACTCTTTATCAGCAACCTCTAGAGTTGTTCTTTCCTGTTGAACCTTTTTCTCCCTTGCCTTTTTTGTGTCCTTTCCACACAGGTCCAAAAGCAGTTGCCACTAGCGGACTGACTGCCTGACTGACACCACGCATGCAGAGTTGTTTGGTGCTGTGCTTGAAGACTCACCTCATACAACCACTCTCTACCTCCCCTAGGTTTGAAATCTACCCCAGGATGCTGAACGTACGGAACGTCGCACAAGAGGCTTACATGCATTACAATACAGCCTAGCACAAGAGGCTAACATGCGATTGAAAAGGGAAAAACATGCATTACAAGACAGCCTAGAACAAGAGGCTAACATGCAATGGAAACGGGAAAAACATGCATTACAAAGCCTAGCACAGACTAGCACAATTCACCCCACATGTTACAACACACAACATGCTTACAACACACAACAAACCCAGCTTGCCTCAGGTCACACCACGAAGGTGCCGCCACGGGCTCACGGGTTTGCCTCATTTAAGAAGCCTAGTACGTAATTCTGGGTCATTCTCACGGGCTTGGGGGTGGTTGTCTTGGTCGGGTAGGCCAATGCAGTCACGGTCGACTGCGACAGTTTCACGGGAGTGGTGGTGGCGGTCTTGGTCGTGTCGGCCAATGCAGTCGCGGTCGACTGCGACAGTTTCACGGGCGTGGTGGTGGTTTTCTTGGTCGTGTCTGCCATTGCGGTAAATCTCGTCGACAGTTTCACGGGCGTGGTGGTGGTTGTCTTGCTCGTGTCGGCCAATGTGGTCACGGTCGACTGCGACAGTTTCACGGGCATGGTGGTGGTTTTCTTGGTCGTGTCTGCCATTGCGGAAAGCCCCAGAATGCGCCGCGGGGCGGCGAATCCCTTGGATGCTGCTGCGCACAGAACAATGGAAGGGATTTGGTCGAGTGGACTTCTGTAGGTTCCATAACGTAACCGAATGCAGCACATAAATTATTTGTCGAGATGGTGTGGTATACTTCACATATATCCTTAATCTGAACGAAATGCACCACTGGTAATGGCATTACGAGGAGATGAGGAGCTTACCAGCCGCGACGTACGATGCTGACGTCAAAAGCAGCACAAACAGTCTGGCAATGCATTCTGCCACGTACTTTCATCTCTCGATCTTAGCCCTAGATCGACAGAAGGATCGACGGCTCAAACGTTTCAGCTAGCAAGTAGAAATCTGCAGCACAGCATGGGAAGAACTTGACGGCTGCAGATCAAAACTAACTTGGATCAACGATTGTAATTCCAACCTTGAACTTGAACCAATCGGAAACAGTCTAGCATATTTTTCTGCCAACTCTTCCATCTCTCGATCGTGGCCTTTGAATGTAGAAGAATCGACGGCTTAAAGTTTCAGCTAGCCACTAGAAATCTGCAGCACAGCATGGAAAGGAATCGACGGTTTAATTCCAATGATATTTGGATCAACGGTTGTAAATCCAACTTTCTTATTTACTTTGAGATCAGTCAGCTGCGATCTTGACCAACCAGATAAAATACAATTTCCAACCAGAAAACATCTAATCGTAACCATTAAAGATGTCTCTGATCGACGGCTAACATTCCAACATGCACAAAACTTCACATTCATCAACAGAGCTCTCAGATTCGATCTGCACCGTCAATTTGTACAATCGACGGTTCTATATGTTTTATGGCTTAAGTTGCGCCGAAATTCGCGTCAGCTGCTGTCTTGATGCGAGTGATACGTTTTCGCGGTTATTTATTACGCTTTGTGTTATTCTCTTGGCTCAGAAACGGGCTTCTAACGCAATTATGATTGTATTTCCCAGCCGTTATACTGAATATTCGGACATTGAAGTACATGCCTGGTAGGTTCATTGTAGGTTTGGAACCCCACCGACAATGTAGGCTCGAACAATCTGAACTTGCTCGCCAGGCAAAGCATGTACGTAGTCGTCACCTCCTTTGATCCACATTCATCCGACTGTACAGTAAGGTAGGTTCGGCAGGCATAGTTCGTTCTAGGGTGGCCGAATATTATGCATCTTTATACACCATACTCAACACCCACCACAGACGTGCGTACGAAGTCCCCACTGTCAGAACATTATAGCTTATGCTGTTGTGTAGGCTATAGTGGGGTATCCCATAGGGGGTACAACCAATTAGGGTTTCATATTTGTACTCACTTCATTTTCATAGTTCACCCATTCTCGTTCTCATTCTCACATGGAATCAGAGCAGGTCCCCTCCTAGGGACTGTTCCTTGGGCCCACCGAAGCACGCCTCGAGTCGCGCCTGCCTTTTTTTTAGCGGCCCGTCGAGTCGCACCTAGCGGCCCGTCGCGCCGCCCTTACGATCGCGTCGAGCCGCCCTAGCGGCTGCGGCGCGCCGCCCTTTTCCCGGCCCGTCGCCGCCCTTACCCGCGGCTTTGCGCCGCCCTCACCGGCGGCTTCGCGCCGCCCCTACCTGCGGCTTCGCGCCGCCCAGGCCCGTCGCCGCCCTTCCCGCGGCTTCGCGCCGCCTCTACCTGCGGCTTCGAGCCGCCCCGGCCCGTCGCCGCCCTTACCTGCGGCTTCGCGCCGCCTACGGCCCGTCGCCGCCCTTTTCTGCGGCCCCGCCGCCTCTCTCGTTGCGGCCCCGCCGCCCGTCTTCGCGGCCCCGCCGCCATCTCTCGCTGCGGCCCCGCCGCCACTCACTGCGGCCCCGCCACCCGTCTCAGCGGCCCCGCCGCCCGTCTTCGCGGCCCCGCCGCCTCTCTCGCTGCGGCCCCGCCGCCTCTCACTGCGGCCCCGCCGCCCTACTCAGCGGCCCCGCCGCCCGACTTCGCGGCCCCGCCGCTTCTCTCGCTGCGGCCCCGCCGCCTCTCTCGTTGCGGCCCCGCCGCCCTTCACTGCGGCCCCGCCGCTTCTCTACAGCGGCCCCGCCGCCCTACGTCAGCGGCCCAGCCGAGCCGCCCAGCAGCAGAGCAGCCGAGCCGCCCCGCCGCCGAGCCGCGCTGCAGCCGAGCCGCCCGGCCGCCCACCAGCCGAGCCGCCGTGCAGCCGACCGCCCAGCCGCCGAGCCGCCCAGCTGCCGAGCCGCCCAGCCGCCGAGCCGCCCAGCGGCCGAGCCGCCCTGCAGCCGAGCCGCCCGAGCAGCCCTGTCCGGTGAGCACAGACCCTCTGTCACTGCGTGCTCTTCCCCTACTCCTTGCACTGCTGGTCTACTGCTGTCATGGCTACCCCTAGTGTCCTCACTTTTGACGCTGAGGGTCGGGCCATTGACTTTGAGGTCTGGGTAGATGACCTACAGCTGTTCTTACAGTGCGATAGGGCGGACGGCCTCTCTCTCTTTGACCTCACCTCTGGCGCTTCCCCTGCCCCTGCTGCTGATGCTGACGCCACTGTTCGCTCCCAGTGGGCCACGCGCGATGCTGCTGCACGTCTTGCTGTGCGTCGCCACCTCCCTACCTCCGAGCGTGCGCACTTTAGTTAGTACAAGAGTGCTCAGACCTTGTACGCCGCTGTAGTCGCACGCTACTCCTCCCCTTCCACTGCTGCACTGAGCCGTCTCATGCTGCCGTACCTCTTCCCTGACCTTGCTTCTTTTCCCACCGTTGCTGACCTCATTACGCACCTCCGCACTAGTGACACTCGCTACCGCGCTGCACTTCCTGCTGACTTCTGCACCGCGAACCCCCCCCCCATGTACATCACTCTGTACTTCCTAGTCACTCGCCTCCCTGACTCCCTTCGAGTAGTCAGGGACCACTTTCTCTCAGTCTGTCCCACCACACTCACTGTAGACCTCCTCGAGAAGGCCCTCCTCGCGATAGAAAAGAGCATAGTCGCTGTAGGAGCCTCTCGAGGTGACCCGCGCACCCCCATCTTTGAGGGGTGTTCTCCCTCCCCCCTGCTGCCCTCTGTTGCCTCTGCTGCTTCGGCCGACCTCCTTGGTCTTGAGTCGGTCGGTGCGGTGTCTGCCCCTAGCGGGAGACGCCGCCCTGGCAAGGGCAAGGGGGGCAAGGGAGCTGGAGGAGCGGGCGGTGGAGGTGGAGGTGGAGGCAGTGGGGGGAGTGGGGGTAGCGGTGGAGGTGGAGGTGGGGGTGGGGGGTTCGGTGGCGGCAGTGGAGGCGGAGGCCGCGGCGGCGGTGGCGGTGGTAGCGGAGGTGGCGGAGGAGGCGGCGGTGGAGGAGGCGGTGGAGGCGGCGGCGGCAGTGGAGGCAGCGGAGGCGGTGGAGGCGGTGGGGGTGGCGGTGGAGCTGGTCGCGGGTCTTTGCAGAGGAGTGGCTCCGGTGGTGGCTCGCGCCAGCAGCAGCAACGTGGTCGTGCGACCCTGTCCCCTCAGCAGCTCCGTGAGTGGTACACTGCACGCCAGCGGGGTGGGGGTTTTGGTCCGTGTACCTACGTCCTGCGCACCGGCGACCGTGCAGGTGAGCAGTGTGGGGGTGCGCACCCCACTCCGCGCTGCTTTGGCCGCCTGACGGACGCATGGCGTCACCAGTTCCCGGAGGCCTCCGAGATCCCTCGCTGGGACGAGCTGTCTAGGGCGGGGGTTGCCATCTTTGATCTGGACTTTGATGCTATTCTCTCTGCCATGTATGCTGTGTCTATTAGTGATGAGGGTGACTGTTACCGGTGTTTCCAGCCCGATCCGGGCATTGAGACTGCTGCTCTAGGTACTGGTGAGGCTGCTGCCCTAGGTGCTTACGACGCTGCTGCTCTAGGTGCTGGTGTGTCTGCGTCCTCAGGTACTGGTGAGTCTGCTCTCTCAGGTACCGCGTCGGCTTCGGCCTCCCTCACCTTCACTCTTGACTCTGGGGCGTCTCGCTCCTTCTTTCGGGACCGCACCACACTCACGCCGCTTAGTCGGCCGGTTGCGGTGTCTCTGGCTGACCCCTCTGGGGGTCCGGTCCTGTCTCGTTTCTCCACAGTCCTCCCGTGTCCGGCGGCTCCCTCTGGCACCCTGTCTGGTCTCTACCTCCCCTCGTTCTCGACGAACCTGGTGAGTGGTGCTGACCTACAGGATGCGGGTGTCCACCAGTTCACACCTGCACGTCAGCGAGTGACCCACTGTACAGAGGCTGGCACAGGCCGACACCTGGCTACGTTCACCCGTCAGCCGGGGTCGAGCCT